GAGGAGGAGGAGGAGGAGGAGGAGGAGAGGAGGAGGAGGAAGAGGAGGAGGAGGAGGAGGAGGAGGAAGGAGGAGGAGGAGGAGGAGGAGGAGGAGGAGGAGGAGGAGGAGGAGGAGGAAGGAGGAGTCCTCCCTTCTAACCCCTCGGGCCCACACGAACCCCGTGCCCCCCCTAGAATTTGTTCCCTCTCCCTGCTCTCGCCTTTTGTGCCCTCAGGGCCCTAAAGGTCAGGCAGGGCAGTGCATTCTGCATATGGAGTCCGAGTGGATGCTGTACGGATTCTTCAGTCCGGGGTGTGGATTTGCGCTTGGATGCGAGTATCCATGCAAGTATGCTGCGCATGCGCAGGCAGCGGCGGTCAGCAGCAGCGAGAAACCGGCAACATCAATCCATGCATCGCGTCTGCAAGATGTCTTGCCTGTCGAAGAGGCCCCCTGAGGTCCCAAAGGGGCGCGACGCGTGCGCGCTTCTCGCCTCCATTCTTACTGCCCCCCCTCAAGCAGCGCCCAACAAGCGCAGAAATCCTGACCCTCGCTGGGTCTTCGAGCCCTCTTTTCGATCCTCCCTCCCCGTCGGCGCACGCACAGCTGTATGGCACATCTGCTGTCCCAAGGCGGCTGGACAGTCTACACTCCCTGACGTGGCGCGTCGTGGCGAGCAGAAGCTCTGCGGCCGCCTTGGGGCGGGCGCCACGGATGGCCGAACAGCCTATCCCACACAGGCTTTGGCGCGCGAGTCCTCCGCGATCCGAGTGTCGACCCCCTCTCCTTCAGGGACAGCGTTCGGGGGGGATAGGCTCAGGTCGAAGAAGAAGAAGAAGAAGAAGCAACACACACACATGTACATAAGCTTTTGGCGCTCCGCGCAGATTTCTTGGATCGGCGCCTGGGCCCCTGGCGCGCTCCGCGCGCCAGGGAGGGGTGCCCAGCGCAAGTCCAAGAAGTCCGCGCAGACCGTCGAACGTTTTTTTTTTTTTCTTTTCTTTTTTGTTCTCTCTCTCTCTATCGCGGGGGCATCGACCCCCAATCGCCCACGGATTGCCGATGTGGGGCCCGATGGGCCACCCCGCCCAGGGCCGTGCGGATTCGCCATCGGGGGGCTACATCGCCGATCCATCGGCGAGGCATCGCCCGTTCCAGGGCGATGCTCTCCCCCCCCTTGGAGCCGGTCCCCCAGGGCTGGACCTAAATGCTGTTTTTTGCTGGACTTCGGCTGTGTCTGTTTTTTTCTTGTGGGAGGGAGGTGCAGGAAAACAGATGGAGCAAAGCGAGCAACAAAACGAAAACAAAACGAAACACAACGTGTAGGTCCAGCCCTGCCGGTCCCCCACTCAGGTCAGCCCCAGAATGATGAGTGGAGGGCCCCTCTCGTTCTCTCAGGGGGGGGGACAGCGCTCTCGGCGGCGGATGTCTTCTGACTTCTCCCCCCCTCGGTAATTGTTGTGACCCCCAGCTGGCGCAGCTGCGTCGGCTGAGTTCAGAGCTGCGGCACTGCAGGTTTTGCTGCCTGCTGTGGTTCGCGTGACGTCGAGAGAGGCCTCCGGCGATCTCGGGCCGCCCACGCATTCTTGCTTCTTGGACGCGCACTCGTAATGTTTGACTATTTTGGTTCATTTTTTGACTTTGTTGCATTTTCCTTTGAACATCCGCCTGTAGGAGGACATGCCCGACCTAACACTAACGTCGTTCCTCACTCCCTCGTCCCTCCCGACAGGGCCAGCTCAGGGCCGTGCTCACCGACCGCGCCGCCACTCCCGAGCAGCTGCTTATGGCCATCGGGGCCTCCGAGGCCACCCGCCCGGCCGCTATTGGCGTCGTCGTCGGCCCGTTGTCGGCGTCGTCGTCGTCGTCGTCGTAGTCGTCGTTGTCAAGGAACAGGAGCGGCGGGAGGAGGCGGAGGAGGAGGGGGCACGAGGATGAGGATGACGATGAGGATGAGGGTCAGGATGAGGGTGATGATGATGATGATGATGATGATGATGATGATGATGATGACGGTGACGGTGACGGTAACGGTGACGATGATGATGATGATGATGATGATGATGATGATGATGATGCTGATGATGATGATGATGAGGGTGAGGATGAGGATGACAATGATGATGATGACGACGATGATGATGAGGATGATGACGATGACGATGATGCTGCTGCTGCTGATGATGATGATGACGGCGACAATGATGATTATGATGATGATGATGCTGATGAGGATGAGGATGAGGATGAGGGTCAGGATGACGATGATGATGGTGATGATGATGATGACGATGCTCGATGATGATGACGATGACGATGACGATGACGATGACGATGATGATGATGATGATGATGATGATGATGATGATGATGATGATGATGATGCTGGTGATGATGATGATGATGATGATCATGATGATGATGATGATGATGATGATGATGATGATGCTGATGCTGATGATGATGATGATGATGATGATGATGATGATGATGATGATGATGATGATGATGATGATGATGATGATGATGATGATGATGATGATGATGATGATGATGATGATGATGATGATGATGACGATGACGATGCGATGACGATGACGATGACGATGATGATGATGATGATGATGATGATGATGATGATGATGATGATGATGATGATGATGATGATGATGATGATGATGATGCTGATGATGAGAAGGAGGAGGAGGAGGAGGAACTTGGAGGAGGAGGAGGAGGAACTTGGAGGAAGCGGAGGAGAGGAGACGGAGGAGGAGGAGGAGGGCGAAGAGGAGGAGGAGGAGGAGGAGGAGGAGGAGGAGGAGGAGGAGGAGGAGGAGGAGCAGTTTAGGAGGAGGAGGAACGAGGAGGAGGAGGAAGAGGAGGAGGAGGGAGGAGGAGGAGGAGGAGGAGGAGGAGGAGGAGGAGGAGGAGGAGGAGGAGGAGGAGGAGGAGGAGGAGGAGGAGGAAGGGGCCCAGGAGGGTGAGGAGGAAGAGGAGGAGGAGGAGGCGGAGAACGAAGAGTAACCGGAGTCGGAGGAGGAGGTGGAGGAAGAGGGAGGAGGAGCAGGAGGAGGAACGAGGAGGAGGCAGAGGAGGAGCAGGAGGAGGAACGAGAAGGAGGAGGAGGAGGATGAGGATGAGGATGAGGATGATAATGAGGATGAGGAGGATGAGGAGGAGGAGGAGGAGGAAGCGGGGCGGGAGAAGGATGAATCAGAACAGGACAATGAGGAGGGCCCAGAGGGGGAAAGCAGGAGAAGGAGATGATGATGTGATTTAGGAATGGGGGAGGAACGATGAGAACGATTATGATGATAAGGATATGTAGGAGGTGCTTTAGGGACGGGGAGGGAGTAAGCACGAAGATCAGGAGCAGGACGAGCAGCAGGAAGAGGATGAGCAAAGGATGATGATGATGGGGTGGAGGAACGAGGGGGGGGAAGGACAGGGATTCGGAGGAGGATGACGCGTAGAAGCACCAGTGAGACGATGAAGCTGATGATGCTTATGATAATGATAATAGCGGTGATGCTGGTGATGCTGATGCTGATGCTGATGATGATGATGCTGCTGATGATGATGATGGTGGTGCTGATGATGATGGTGCTGATGATGACGCTGATGCTGATGATGATGCTACTGCTGATGATGCTGAGGATGCTGATTATGATGATGATGCTGCTGATGCTGCTGATGCTGATGATTATTACGATGATGCTGATGATGACGATAATCACGATGCTGATGATGCTGATGATGACGACGAGGATGCTGATGATGCTGATGATGCTGCTGATGCTGATGATGATTACGGTGATGCTGATGATGATGGTAATGACGATGCTGATGATGCTGATGGTGATGCTGATGATGACGACGAGGATGCTGATGCTGCTGATGATGATGATGATGATGACGATGCTGTTGTTGCCAGATATGATGAGCATACTCCTCCTGATGACGAGGATGATGGTTTTGGTGATGATGCTGATGATGATGCTGCTGATGATGGCAGTGTTGGTGGTGATGATGCTGATGCTGATGACGATGCTACTGCTGCTGATGATGCTGATGATGATGATGCTGATGATGATGATGATGATGATGCCGATGCTGATGATGCTGATGGTGATGCTGATGATGACGACGAGGATGCTGATGCTACTGCTGATGATGATGATGATGACGACGACGATGCTGTTGCTGCCAAAAATGATGAGGATGGTGCTGCTGCTGATGACGGTGATGATGGTTTTGGTGATGATGCTGATGATGCTGCTGATGATGGCAGTGTTGGTGGTGATGATGCTGATGCTGATGACGATGCTACTGCTGCTGATGATGCTGATGATGATGCTGCTGATGATGCTGATGATGATGATGATGACGATCATGACGATGCTGATGATGCTGATGGTGATGCTGATGATGCTGCTGCTGATGATGATGCTGCCGTTGCCAATGATGATGAGGATGAAGCTGCTGCTGATGACGATGATGATGGTTTTGGTGATGATGCTGATGATGCAACTGATGATGACAGTGTTGGTGGTGATGATGCTGATGCTGATGACGATGCTACTGCTGATGATGATGCTGCTGATGATGATGATGATGATGATGATGATGATGATGGTGATGATGATGGTTATGATGATAATGATGATGATGACGATGATGATGCTTTTGGTGATGATGCTGATGATGCTGCTGATGATGGCAGTGTTGGTGGTGATGATGCTGATGCTGATGACGATGCTACTGCTGATGATGATGATGCTGATGATGCTGATGCTGATGATGATGATGATGATGATGATGATGATGATGATGATTATGATTTTGGCGATGTTGATGATGCTGATAATGATGCTGATGATGATGCTGATGATGATGATGATGATGATGATGATGATGATTCTGATGATCATGATGAGGCTGATGCTGCTGATAGTGATGCTGATGATGCTGATGATGATGATCATGATCATGATCATGATCATGATGATGATGATGATGATGATGATGATGATGATGATGATGATGATGCTGATGATGATGATGATGATGATGATGATGATGATGATGATGATGATGATGATGATGATGATGATGATGATGATGATGATGATGATGATGATGATGATGATGATGATGATGATGATGATGATGATTGATGATGATGATGATGATGATGATGCTGATGATGATGATGATGATGATGATGATGATGATGATGATGATGATGATGATGATGATGATGATGATGATGATGATGATGATGATGATGGAAAGAGCGTGCTCTACCGCTGCTGGTGGAGAACCGGGGGGGGGTCACTACCGGTTCGAGACCTCCCCCTCCAGTCCATCTGAAAAGGGGGTCACTACCGGTTGGGGGAAAACCGGGGGGGGGGGGTGGGACAGTGGTGGGAACGGTGGTGGTGGGGACAGTGGTGAGGGGACAGCGGTACAGTGGTGGGGACAGTGGGACAGTGGTGGGGACGGTAGTGGTGGGGAGAGTGGTGAAGGCGGTGGTGAGGACAGTGGTGGGACAGTAGCACGGTGGGGAAAGTGGTGGGGACAGTGGGGACAGTGGGAGGACAGTGATGGGGACAGTGGGGACGCTGGGACAGCACAGTGGGACAGCGGCGGGGACAGTGGGACAGTAGTGGGTACAGTGGGGACAGTGGGACAGTGGTGGGGACTGTGGGGAAAGTGGGGAGAGTGGGACCGTGGTGGGACAATGGTGGGGAGAGTGGGGACATTGACACACTGGTGGGGGCACTGGTGGGGACAGCGGGGACAATGGTGGGAACAGTGGGGACAGTGGGACAGTGGTGAGGACGGTGGTGGTGGGGACAGTGGTGTGGGGACAGTGGGAATGTGGTGGAAACAGTGGGACAGTGGAGGGTACAGTGGTGGTGGGGACAGTGGTGACGAGGACGGCGGTGGGACAATGGGTACAGGGGGACAGTGGTGGGGACACAGTGGGGACAGCCTCAGTGGGACAGCGGCGGGGAAGTGGGACAGTGGGGACTGGGGGATAGTCGGCAGTGGTTGGGGCCGTGGAGAAAGTGGGGAGAGTGGAACCGTGGTGGGAACAGTGGTGGGGACAGTGGGGACAGTGCGACAGTGGTGGGGGCACTGGTGGGGACAGTAGGGACGGTGGTGGAACCAGTGGGGACAGTGGTGGTGAGGACAGTGGTGCTGGGAACAGCAGTGGGGGATGTGGTGCGGACGGTGGTAGGGACCGGGAGTCGTTTGCTGGCGGTGAGGGGGAGGGGGGGGGAGGGGTTCGAACTGGGGGGGGGGTTCGAACCGGTACCCCTCCAGTTTTCGAGGGGGGGGGCGAACCAGTAGTGACGCCCCCCCCCCCCCGGTTTGGGGTGGGGGGGTTCGAACGGTAGTGACCTTCCTCTGGTTTTCTGGGGGGGGGGTTCGAACCGGTAGTGACCCCCCTTCGGTTTTCCCGGTTTTCCGAGGGGGGGGGAGGGTTTCGAACCGGTAGTGACCCCCCACGGTTTTCTGGAGGACAGGGGGGGGGGATGGGGGGGGTTAGGGGAGGGGAGGGGTTTTGCCGGGGGAGGGGGGGTATTCCAGCAGGGGGGGGATTTTCGGAGGGGGGGGGGACCCCCGGGCTCCGGAGGAAGAGGGGGGGGAATCTTCCACAGTAAAGCGGCGGTTGATCACGCTCTCTCTGATGATGATGATGATGATGATGATGATGATGATGATGATGATGATGATGATGATGATGATGATGATGATGATGATGATGATGATGATGATGATGATGATGATGATGATGATGATGATGATGATGATGATGATGATCATGATGATGAGATGATGATGATGATGATGATGATGATGATGATGATGATGATGATGATGATGATGATGACGATGCTGTTGTTGCCAATGATGATGAGGAGAATATGCTGTTGCTGATGACGACTTTGTTGAATATGATGATGATGACGATGTTGTGGAGGATGCTGCTGCTGATGACGATGATGACGATTGTGGTGGTGGTGATGATGCTGCTGATGATGATGCTGATGGCAGTGCTGGTGGTGATAATGATTATGATGATGTTGCTGATGATGATGCTGCTGCTGATGATGATGACTGTGACGATTATGATGATGGTCTATGATGGTGGTGGTGGTGGTGACGATAATGCTACTGATGATGGTAATGATCAGGACGATGAGGAGGAGTTGGAAGAGACGGACGACGACAACGACGACGACGACGGTGATGATGCTGCTGATGATGACGATGATGACGATGCTGACGATGATGATGACGATGATGATGATGACGACGATGATGCTGCTGATGATGATGCTGGTGATGATGATCATGATCATGATGATGATGATGATGATGATGATGATGATGATGATGATGATGATGATGATGACGATGATGGTGATGATGATGATGATGATGTTGTTGTTGATGATGAGGAGGAGGACGAGAAGGAGGAGGAGGACGATGAGGAAGATGAGGAGGAGGAGGAGGAGGAGGAGGAGGATAATCAGTGTAAACCCAAGGCGCATCAACGTTTCGGCAGTGCACCCTTCACTTTCCCTCTTCATGGCTCCCTGCAGCATTTTTTAATTGCGGGAAGTGCCCAATGGGAGGACGACCGTGTGCGAATTCTGAATCGTGCCAGAATGCCACGAATCAACGTGACTGTGCCAGACCACCAGTCCTGGCGTTTCAACACCGCGAATAAACGTGATTGTTGCTTTGATTTTTTTGCAAGATATTAAATAAAACGCGCGCGGCGCTAAGGCGAGAGGCACATTTTGAAAAGGGACCGCCCTGCACCCTTGAAACGGTCATGTCTTTCAAGACGACTTGGCGCGGCGCTAAGGCGAGATCCACATTCTGGAAATCACCCGCCCTCCAACGTCGAAACTGTTTCAAAGTCTCAGGACGCATGTGCACGGTTCTGAGGCGAGAGCTGCATTTTGCTAAGTGGTTTTCCCCCATTTTTGAGACTGTGGCACATGTTTGAGACCCGGCCGTTTCCCCCCTTCCTCGTTCCCGAACTCAAGCGGGCTGCAACAGCGGGACAAAAAGGGTACCGCGGGCAAGCAATCCGAGGCGATTGAGGCCAATCCTTCTTGACCAAATGCCCCGCCGTGCGGGGGTCCTGCCCCCGTGCAGCCTGGGGAAGCAAAATATCCAATCCACCTGGCCGGATATTCTTTTATTACAACACCAGACTGATATCGCCCGAACGTGTTTATACTATTGGCGCGTCAGCCCCTGGGGTCTTTCGGGCTATGCCGCGTGGGCAACGACACACTAGAAGGTGTTTGTACCGTATGCTTGGTTCTGACCTGCGCCTCCCAAGGGGGTCGCATAGCACAGTCAACCCGCAGAGCAAGGATGGGCAACCTTCCCCAGGCTACCCTTGCATCCTTGCCCCTCTGGCTCATCCTTAGCGACTCTCGCTGGCCAACCTCGCTCGAAAAACGTCAACATGGGCCTCCAAGGCCCTTCCATCGTTGCAGTGGAGACCCATGCCAGGGAACACCCTGCTCGCCTCCAGGGTGCCCGAGGTTTCTTGCGTTTCGATGGTTCTGCCATGGACAGCGTGATGTTCCTGCACCAGAACTTGATGGACGTCCCGGGGTCTCAGGGTTGGGTTTCTTGTGGAAGGTTTCTCGTGGACTGGCCTCCACGGTACCGCGCATCCTTCCTATACGGGTTGGCTGTGCACTATTTGTGCGTCGCCCCCTTCCCCCCTTCCCCTCCCTCCCAGCGGCGACGGTCGCGCTCGGGACTCTTGCAGCACGTGCTCGGCAGCGGGCGCCCTCGGGCCATGCACCGCGGGGGGCAACGACACACTATGAAGATGCTTGTGCCGCTTGCTCGGTTCTGACCTGCGCCTCCCAGGGGCGCACCGCAGCGTCGACCCGCACAGGAAGGACGAGCAGCCTCCCCAAGGGCACCCCTGCACCCGTGCCTCCTCGGTCCGTCCTTGGCCGCTCTCGCCGGCCGCGCTCCGCTAGAAAAGTGTCGACGTGGCCTCCCAGGGCCCTTGCATCCTTAAATCGCTCATCCTTACCATGCGGGTTGATCGTACTGGGATGCCCTTCTGGTTGCCCCAGGCTCCCATGCTGGCTTGGTCATCTACCTCGATGCTGTGCTGTCGCCTCCCTTCGCGCCTCGCTTTGTCGGTTGGTGCTGTCGCACTGTTTCGTCTTCCCCCTTCTTTTCCTCCCCTGTCTTCCCCCGCCGCTCGCGGGTGCAATCAAGGCGAGGATGTCAAGTGTCCTCGTTATTGCCTTCTTATGCCCACAGCTTGTCTTCGTTTCCTCACACACACAGCCCACTCCACTGGGGCGGCTTCGGCCTGCATGGCGTCTTCAGCGTAGTGCACACCCCCGGCAACGATGCCTCCAACGATGCCTCTGGCGTCTTTTCGCAGATTTCCGAGTTCCGAGCTCCGCGTTCCCCTCACGGCTGCCCCACTCCCCCGTGAGTGCTGCTGTCGATCCCTTCTGGGAGGCTCCGGCGTCACCCCCCCGCGTGAGCCGGGCCCGTGCGTGCGAGCCACTTCGACCCTGAGGCCGCGACGCCGCAGGCGTGGCCGCGACGCCGGAGCACGTCCTCGTGCGCCCCAGCGGAAGAGGGCGGGGAGGACGGAGGCCCTGCGGCGACGGCGCCGCGCCCACCGGCCGGGAGGGGCACGGGGAGGGGCGCTCCGCACTCGGTCTGCACCACTCTTCTGGAGTTGAGCGGGCCCAGTGTCGCGGCCGTCGCGGCCGTCGTCGCCGTCGCCGCAGTCGCCGCCGTCGCCGCCGTCGCTATCGTCGCCGCCGCCCGCGCCGCCGTCGCCGCAGCCGTCGCCGCAGCCGCCGCCGCCGTCGCCGCCGCCGTCGGCGTCGCCGAAGCCGCCAGGGGCCGACGATCGCCGCGATGACCTCGTTCGCCTCGATGTCTCGATCGCCTCGATGTCTCGATCGCCTCGATTTCTCGATCGCCTCTGTGG